GAAGCACGTGGATTTCGTACGTAACCACGGAGATGAACATGTTACAGGTCCCTGGTGCAGGAAAATAAGAAACACGAATAAACAGATGTTGAATAAGCAAGAAATTTATTTGAAAATGGCTTTGACAGATTATGTAAGAAAGATGAATACAGAAACACTTGTTTGAATCAAAAAATTATGTGTGTGTGTGTGTTGGGGGGGGGGGGTTACTTATAAATTCAACTGACGTTAAAAATGAACAATCCAATATAATAATAAAAATGTTACTGATATTGAAGATATAACGAAGAACATAAAATTAAATAACATTTGTTGTATCAATAACATGGGGAGGGGTGTTAAACAAGGGAATCTCAGTCTCACTCACTCTCTCATATTAATTCTATGTACTTCCCAATACTAAATAATAGAAAAATATATACGCGTATTCTATACTTTCACTTTTCAAAGAATACAACAGCAAACATCATATAAGTACTTACCAGGGACCTATACACTAACCCTGTACTTACTTTTTTTATTTAAATTAGAAATGTTTTCTTTTATTAACGTACGTTTACGATCTATGATTTGTTAGTGAAACGGTCGCATGTACTGTCTTTTTGTGATTATTGCTTACAAATAGAATTTAAAAAAATGTCAATACATATTCGGAAGGAAAAAAATGACGATAGAAATGGCATAACCCATCGATTCCTAATTGTTGGAAAATATGAATCGATGATTTTTGGCAATTCCTTGTATCGTTACTTATTATAACCACACACAAAGAAATAATGAAAAAATATTCACTAAACTAATTTCAAACAAAAATAAGAGCAAATACTATAGTCATAGTTAATTTAATATTCACAAAATCCCTAAAAATTAATGGAAAAAACACTAAAAAACCCCATCGTGTTTCCACCGTATTCTATGCATTCAAAATGGCCGGTACATGTTGTGACGTCACAGCGGCTAAGGCCCGAAAACCGAGCGTTTCAGAAAATCGCTCAGGTGTGAAATAGGGTTTTTCCCCAATAGCTTCGTTAGTTGTGCATAGATTTCGGTGCGGTTTTTTTCTTTAGTTTTATTTTAGCATGATCTACAACATATTTAAAAATAAAAAGCCACTGCAAGTACCCTTTAAGATTATTATTCTTTTTTTTTCTTCTTTTTCCTAGACGCCAACTTTGAGAGCTCATATCTCGCTCATTTCTCAACGGATTTTGCTCAAATTTGCAGAGTTTATAGACGTTACAAAACTCTATCAGAATGCTGTCAAACAGTTCAAAACGTCACTTCCGCTTTTGAGTTATTGCCCTTTAAATAAAAATTTATTAGGCTTCATTTCCAGACAAAGGCTCCGAGACTACAAAAGCTGGAGGAGAAATTCTACCGAATTTAGATAATAGAAGGATTGAAGTTGTGCACATCGTTTTTTGTTTTTCGATTTCTGTATTCAAAATGGCGCTAATTAGGGGTCAAAATTGAGAACGCCTAAAAGAGCGAAAATTTAGACATATTTTCCTTTGTATCTTTAAAACTAAACATATTTTGATAAGACATGTAGAATAAACGTTGTGCACAATTTCAAGGCCTTTCATTTGACACCACTAAAAAGGGGCTGGCCCCTCAAATTAGGGATCTGGAGCCCTTTAAAGTTTTTGCTTTATAACTCAAAACCGGTAAATATTTCGAAATGGCTGTCGTTAAAAAAGTTGCTCTTTAACATCTTATTGATTTCATAAAAACGTTATTTTGTTCGAGTCTTGTGTTTTAAATGCGCCAGAAGCTTGACCCATATACAGGTAACTGTTTTCATTCAGCAAGTAAACGAGAGCTCTTCATGCGTGTAACTAAAATAAACTTAATATAAATAATAAATCTGGCTACATTAGATGCTAATATTCTTTAGAATAAGGTTCTTGAAGTGTTTTGTGCTTTATTTCCAAGTTATTTTTTGACAACTTTTCGTTTTATTTCATTTTTTTCAAAGTCGAATAAACCAGTCTACTAAAAAAGGGGAAAAAAAGATAACCTTTTCTTCTTAACATATAGAAACAAACAATTAATAATATACTGAGAAAATAAAACATAACTTTGAAGCATAGACTATTTACAGCCATTAAGTGTGCGCCTTTTACATTCACCTTGTGTGTTTACAATTATGTAACACCTCCCTCGATAGCGCGTGGCAAAGGAGGTCACCGGGGATCAATCGGCGTGTGTGATCCAGCGACCTAGTCATACACAAAACAAATCATAGAATGGCCATTCCAAATTCATTTTGTAAACTAAGTCATGAGTGGATAAATACGTTAAATTTTTCAGATTATTTCATAATATCTTTGATTAAATCGCTAGGGTATTTTATTTAATATTTTATTCGCTGAATTACAGGAAAGTTGCATAGGTATTTTTATAAACAATTTATTTCTCGATATCGAGTTAATTGTCTGTTTTATTCATAATAAAATTCAAAATATGTAACCTTAATTAATTCCTACTAGTAATGGAACTTTTGAAACTTAAATGTACATGTATGTAATCTAATATACGTTCTTTTGTCGACGCCCTTAAAATGTACAACTGTATATATACAAAGCGCCCCAAATATATGCATATCGAGCGTATGGAAATACAAAATCCCACAATTACACGCGCCTCCAAAATATGTAGAATGAGACATACATGCGTAACTGTATTTGAATATTACAAATTTATTAGACACCTAACCTTGAACAAATTATTTTTATCTACTTAACTTGTTATTGTATGCGAACAAAATGATAAACATGTAATTATTTATAGGTTCCCATTATTTTTTCTGACACGCATGTACACGCAAGCAAGTACAGAACATGCACGTTTTATAAGTGCATATGCAAGAGCGCCCCAAATATATGCATATCAAGCGTTTGAAATTCAGAAAAATTCTAAATCCCAAGTCTTTTTTTCCCATTATCTTTGCAATAAAATATCGGTTAAACTGAAATGATTTTATTGATTTACAGCATATATTAAAGTCAATTATAGGTCCGCTGAGTTGATCATGAGTTGTTTTCATAACGGGTAGTCCTCCTGGCCAGTCATCGGTTTGTAACATCCTAATTACACAGGTAAATACTAAGATGTCAATCCATATATTTTCCATAAGAAATGAATTACCGGGAGATGTCTCGTTTTCTCCGATCATATATTAATTGACAGCGTTTATGAACAGCTGTTAAAACACTGGCCTTTGTAAACCGGTAAATCACAAAAAAGAAAAATTCGAGACAAAAAACAGAAAATATAAATGTCTCTGGAAATAACATTGCCTTTAGATAACTAAATTAAATTAATGTCTGCCGATTTTTGAATTAATCTGAACATTCATTGATGTGTACCTGTACAAGCAGTGTGTATATTTTCATGAAGCCTTCGTCCAAACGAACAATATACTAAATCTTGAATGAATTAACTAACCCCTCAGTACACACACATTCGCCTACACCTGAAATCTAATCAAAATCAGATCTTTTTTACGGACGGAAATTCTGATAGTCGCTGTATTTCTAATCTGATTGACTATACATGTACAGTACAGGCAACGCGGATCCCGTATTTCCCGCGCCCCGTCGCGGTATAAACACAACGCGGGATTTGGCCAGGTGAGACAGGTAAACCGCGTTCCCTCCGCGGGAAATTCATCACCTACCTGTCCCCGCCGCGGTTAAATCATCGATCAACTAGTATAGTAAACAAACGGGAGTTATCTCCCCGAACAGGAATTTTGCGAAATTCCCTCTTAAAAAAAACAAATTAAAATCCCGCAGTGTATGTATATTTATTAAAGTATTTTCTTTTATTTCGCAAAAGGTGAAAATAATGAATGAACAAAAAGAAAATTGTAAAGCAGAATATATTTAATCGGTTTTTTTTTTTAATTTTATTTATTATTATTAATTTTGTTAAGTTATATATCAATACTAAAGCGACATCTTTTTTTAAATAGTATCAAGAAAACTATTTATAAGCTGAGTCATTTGAGAGTTTAACGTGACAAATTTTTATGTCGGAAATATAAGTTCTAATAACTTCTCTTTTCAAATTATATGCGAACTGCAATGTTACATACACGTGCTAAACAATAGTCAGTGCGAATTCCGATTAACAGTTTTCAGCGTTCCTATGAGGAAAAAAATATATCTGTATACTGTTCATGTTTTTTTTTTTTTTTTTTAATTTTTTTTTTACCAAATTTAGAACAATATAATTCATTTAAATAATTTCACTTTACTGTATTAATGTGCAAGCATTTCCCTGAAATTGTCGAATGACCGGAAAGCTGTAATATTCGATGGTGAGCATTTACAGTGAGTGGGCGCGTGAACGTTATAAAAGATATCAATAAAATACAACAATTTTTATCCCTCGATATTTACTTCTTTTGTAAACAGTGGTTTGTTTTTAATTTAAACATTTCTCCAATTACAGAAGATGGAATGTGCATGGTGATGAACTTCACAAAAGAATTAAAACGGGGGGGGGGGGGGGGTATATCACTAAAACTTATTATTCTCAATAATACTCAAGAAAAAAATCAATGCCAAGTTTACTTGAATATATTCTGTTTCTTTGTGTATTAAGTATTAGTCGCGATCATTTCCTGTGTATAGGGATTAGCAGAGCAAGAGCAGGAAACGGCATGCCCTAGGGGTTTCACACCTGTCCTAGAGTACCTGTGGTAAATTTCTCTGCATGTGCAAGGCGTTGTCTAGCCATACAACAAACCAGTCCCTTCAACGTTTCATTATTTCATCATTTTCAAATGTAACTACAACCATGAAAGTTACGCGAGTCAATATATACTTTTTTTTTTTACCCTGAGTGTATATTAAAAGGAAAAAGATCAATCATACTTTTAAAACAAATTAATAGAGTTTAAAGGTCTTACGCAAGGAAATAGCCAATCAAAATGAACTTAGTCAATTGTAGTTCTATATATACAGAAACAATTTCTTTTTCTTTTAGCATTTTCGGCAACTTTTTTTAGGTCTACAGTTTTAATTTTGGACTCATGTACTAGGAATATCATATCTTTAGCAGAATTGTGCCACTGAATTAAAGGGAACTCTTTTTTTAGATGCGCATGATGCAACTTCCTGGATGGTGTGTAGGCTGTTTGTCAACATGTGAAACCCACGTGTATTTCAGGGTAGGTATGTTTACACTCAATTTTCTTTCTTAAAAGCCGCATAAGGCGTATTTTTTCTGATCTCAAATTTTTGTCTCAGCATTAATCTTTATTTTCTCTTTCATGAATTATCTGCTGAGAGTGTAATTAATTAATTAATTTAATTAAAGCTACATAGTAACATATAGTGAAATCATTTCCTTGTGTGAGACCTAAAGAGGAACAGGTAACTCTCATTTTGACTACAGTTTCTTTGATTTCAGGAGTAGTCTCCCCTTTCAAAGATCAAAATTGGTGGATATATAATGCGGCATGCAGTCTGGTCATCAATGGAGAGTTTCGACACCCGTATACCCGTATTTCTACCAATCACCTCTGTAACCTTTGTTGTGTTCATCAGACAGGTAAGAAAAACAAGATTATTAATTAAAATAATTTTAATGAGATAAATAATTAAGAATAAAACATATTTACATGCACAGACTCCCTCGTATAAGAAAATGTCACATTTTACACATACAATTATACATCATTAATTTACATATCCACATTTTCCACATTTACACAGTTGAATAGATTCAGTGCATAATAATACATAGCAACAATTTTTACATGTAAGACAATTCACAAAATATTTATTGAATACAAATTTCATACATTTAAATTAAATACACAGCATCAATGCCCCCCCCCCATCCCCTTTACAATCTTACAACTTCCTTTTTAATTTTGGATCTGTTGGTGATTCACATTAAGTGTCTTTAGATTTTTTATCGTACTCTAATATCTTTTAGATCTATAGTATTTTCTTTGAGATTTATATTTTAACAGGTTTTGTTTCATTTTAAAGTAATTTTGCCTATTTGTTTTGTTGTTTTAGATGATGGACAACTCTACTTCCTTTTAAAACAGGTGCCCCTACAGATTCATAAAGTTCCAATGTTGAGTTTCCATGACCCCTATTCAGTGAGTGCACAACTTTATGTATTCTGCTTTCAAAATTTCTACTACTTGTAATAAATTTTGGATTTGATTTTAAATATGCCCTATTCACAGATTCAGATTTTTGTGTACAAGTATGATATTTAATTCTATCAAGATTACTTGGTCCTAAAGTCAAATTTATACAGTCTTTTAACAAAAATTTGTCATCTTCTTTCATGTTTAATTCAAAGTCCCTAGGCAACACTGAAGATTTCCACTTATTGCTTTTCAGTCCATGACAGGAAAAGGAATAAAGTTGACAGGACTTTCCGCACTGTCCTTGGTAGCAGCTTATGATGGAACCAACAGCAGTGGACATAGCGCGCTTCATCAAAGGTAAGTCTCCGGAGTAGTGTTTGTAGCAATTCTCGTACTCTGTCCTGCATCGAAACTTCAGGTCCAAGGCAAATCTTCTCTGCATGGATTCTCTTATGGCTTTGGTTCTTCCCGGAAACATGTGATTGCTGAATGGAGCCTTAGCAGTCTGATGTTGATGCAACCATTTTGGTCCCTTTTTTGGCATGATTATTATTTAACTGTACACTTGTAGACTTTCTCTAATAATATGCTATTGTATGTAGTGCACATTCTTAAGTATTGTAAACTTTTGTGTTGTTTATTTATTTTAGAGCTGCCTGGTCTTCTAAGAGAAACTCCATTCTTTGATGACTGATGGAAAAGCCTCACCCCCCCCCCCCCACTGCTAAAGAACCCCTTATCTTAATCACCAGCCATTAATCAGTGATCACTGTTATCAAAGCTCCAAGGTACATTATTGAAGTCTCTTTTAACACCATTTTTTCCAGTCTCTGACTTTGTTTTAGAATTAAGATTTTCAATTTTTTGCTAATTAATTCCTTATAAATCAGTAAACTTCCTGTTTCTTAGCTAATTAGAGCTTATTAATTAGAGTTGAAAAAAAATTTAAGCAGATAACCAAAAACCCCAACATTTCAGCTTGCATTTCATTCCAATTTTTTGTCTCAATAATTCACTCATAAGATTTTTTTAAGTTTTGAAATTAATATACTGTAGATGAATTTGTATGGAAATTTAGCCTAAAATTCAATAATCTGTTAGGAAGAGTTATCTCCTATTTTTCATCCCTTAAGGACAAAGATAAATTCTGATGCACTAGTATGTGAAAGATAAATAACTAAGAGACATTTTATGCAAATTTCATTTAATTTCATTAACTTTTAGTTGTCTTAAAGGTCTTACGCAAGGAAATAGCCAATCAAAATGAACTTAGTCAATTGTAGTTCTATATATACAGAAACAATTTCTTTTTCTTTTAGCATTTTCGGCAACTTTTTTTAGGTCTACAGTTTTAATTTTGGACTCATGTACTAGGAATATCATATCTTTAGCAGAATTGTGCCACTGAATTAAAGGGAACTCTTTTTTTAGATGCGCATGATGCAACTTCCTGGATGGTGTGTAGGCTGTTTGTCAACGTGAAACCCACGTGTATTTCAGGGTAGGTATGTTTACACTCAATTTTCTTTCTTAAAAGCCGCATAAGGCGTATTTTTTCTGATCTCAAATTTTTGTCTCAGCATTAATCTTTATTTTCTCTTTCATGAATTATCTGCTGAGAGTGTAATTAATTAATTAATTTAATTAAAGCTACATAGTAACATATAGTGAAATCATTTCCTTGTGTGAGACCTTAAATGAAATAAAATAGATCAAATCAAATTATGTTTTATTACTTTTTTTTAAATGCCGACGGGTTTGGTATTTATGTTTCTGTTTAATATATATGTACATGTGCATGTATTATGCAAGTAGAATGTAAAATAAAAAAAAACCGTACAGAATGTTACGGCACGTGCAACGTTTTTCCTTCGGTCAGTTTATTGATTTATCGAGTCCATCGATTAAAACAAAATATTCATGATAGAATTTCAATGAAATGAATAGCTTCTGGATTATTTTTTTTTCCAGTTTCAAAATGTCGTTTCTGTGAACAGATAATATACCGTAGCCGATTTATCAGTTTATTGTCCAGTTGTGGACTTTGACTAATTCTACGATCAAGTTTCTGAAAAACACCGAAATAGTGACAGCCACAGACACTATTTAAGGTCTTCCGTTTAAATAGCACGATTAAAGACAAAAATATCTACCGAAACAAGATCATCGTCGCAAGCCACGGGTTTTGTGTCCATTCTATTTCCACAAACCCGTGGCTGCCTCCTACCAAATTCTCTCATTCTCGCGACTGAATCATTGAATATTTATTAAGTGACGCCAGATTTACCCTGACCAATGAAATCACTCTGTAGCAATTTTTGGTACGCTTAAATGGCGGCGCCCATAATGAAATCATGTTTGCTATGCGTGGCAGATTTATTGAAAAAAAAATACGATAGATCCTGAAGAACAGATGTGAGTAACGTATATTCTAAAATACTTACAAGGTTTTACATTAAAATACAGGGTTTCGAATGTAGACGTTGTGTGAGAACGCTGAATAGCGTTACTCGTTAAGAAAGGAAATTCGAACCGAAGTTGATGTACAGCTCGTGGTTATGGTTACATCCAAATACAAGATAGACATCATTTTCATTGGTTCTGACTTGAAGCGTCAGATGTTATTCAATTGGTTGAATGTATGTTATTAATATTCATGAGAACGAGAGAAATTTGAAGGAGGCAGCCACGGGTTTGTGGAAATAGAATGGACACAAAACCCGTGGCTTGCGACGATGAAACAAGATATAATAACATATTTTGGTGACATGTGGTAGGTACATGTATATGATATTTTAGGCCCGATATCCAAGAGGGGTCCAGTGTTAACAAATGGAAGTGACTTACCTTCTCTATTTCATAATACCGCAGGTATGATTTTTTAATAAAACGTTAATTCTACGTTATTTTTATGGATTTTTCATATGGAATACATTGTAAATGTGTACTAGAAGATTAATTTATGGAAAAAGACGAATAAAAGTATTCTTGGACCCCGGGGTATATATTGGGGGGGGGGTCCTGTCCACAAGCACCGGTCTCATCCAAAGGATCGATCTCCACGTTTTACTACTTATCCAAACTGGGCATAAAACATTCTCAATGAATTTTTTAATCATTATGTTGAACCTAACAAATTATTCCGACTTGCTGTATGACCTGAAAAAACGTGGCTGAACTTATCCGTTCAGAAACTCACAGACTGGGATTGCTTTTAACCAGTGTGTGTTATGGCCTTGATGCAATGTCATTTGGTCGAGTCAAGGTCACTGACAGAGAAACTGTAATTTCGCTACCGTATTTGTACTAGTGAAACATTGCTGGTATCATGCAGAGTGTGACATGGCCTTGACTCAAGTTCAAGGTCACTAAGGATAAGATGTTTTGATTGTATGTATGGACTAAAAGAACATGACGTGTCACTGTGAACTTTTCAAGTCGGTAACACACAGATTGGGTGTGTCATGGTTTGACATAAGGCATTTGGAATGTTCAAGGTCATTCCTTTACAGTTTTTCCTAGCGAAATATTGTAAGTTGCTTCCCCTTACAAGATTGCTTACATGTATAACTTTAGAATGTGGCATGACCTTGATTCAAGGTCACTTCTTCCTTCCGCAGCTCCAACGGAAGACCTATTCGTTGCTTTGCAACGAGCTTGCTCTAGTGTTTAACTTATGTTTCAAAACGTATGTAAAACGTATGTTTTACATATGTTTAACATACGTTGCAATTTTACCTGTGTACTCATGAACTATCAAAAAGTAGCCATTGTATGAAAGAAATTTGTATATCTTTTTATAGCTATAAATGTCGCCGTTTTGTTTAGAATTGAAAAAATAAATCTCCAGAAAATTCTTAACAAAATACTTGCATGATTCGTTGTAATGGTTGAATTGATCTACACCATTTGTTGGCTTATCATAAATTCAGACCTGCCTACCTTTTCTGTTTCGAGGGTGTAATTTCAATACTCATTTTGGTGGAATTTCAGAGGTAAAGGCGTAATCCTTTAAGTTTCCATAGTTCGACGTTTTGCAATGAATTAAACCGGAAATTGTACATCACTAGATGAAATCCCGCGCAAGCGCAGGGAATTGAATCTATACCACTACCGACAGAAAATATATTGTAGTCCTTACTGACAGCCTACAGGGTTATAGCAGGAAGAAATACTTTGTTCAAAATCCCGCATGCCCCCCCCCCCTTCCCTTTTGTAAAAACTTGAAAAAATACCAATTTCATTAATTGATGTTTATCGTGAAACCTTTTACACTATGTTCATGATGTTATGAATTTTGTACTTCAGATGCTCTTATATCATTTCCGTCAAGGATAAAAGCAGCGAATATGCACATTTTATTGATATTTGATTGGGGTTTTTTTTGGGGGGGGGGGGGGTTTAAAAATTCACAGGTACTTGGGTCTTGGTTTATATATATGTATGTACCTTATTGATATGTAAAAATGTACTTTACCTTTTTTTTTTTTACATATCAATTAGTTATATACATATATATAAACCAAGACGCAAGTACATGTACCTGTGTAAAAATTAGCTTTTAACGCCCTATGAATAGGCCGAGTATTTGATACAAAAGACTATATTCAGAAAAAAAAAACTGAAATGTATTGATTAAAGCACGAAATTTTACAGCTTTAATTATATTTAAACAACGTCTTATTCATTAATTTTCTCTTTTCATGTAAGCAAGTTTATTACGAAGTAGAAATTGTACTTCGGTTTCGCTGCCACGTTGCTCTCAGTGAGGAATATATACACATTTTACCGATAAATTTATTAGGAAAACCTACTACATATATGTAACAGTGTTTCGATATATAAATACATTCACAACTTATAGTGTTATCAACGAGTTACCATTATTTCAATGACCATTCACACATAAGCTTTTTTATGTTCGTCTCGTTTTACTTTTTAAAGTTGCATAATGAGTCAAAACCATGTGTTTCTTTTAAGAAAATTATATCATCTGTGAAATATGAATATAGCGAAGTTTTGACAACTCAACTGCACTGTAAAGCAAGAAAAAAAACTGCATAATATAAGTGCCGGAAAAACAAATGTTGTATCTATCGCTTTGTTTTTATCGTCTTTATCAACAATGTCAAGGTCACGCGTCCTTTATTTTTAGCGTGAAACTTGTAAACAACATTGAATTGGGGCAAGCAGTTATGATCATTTTTATTTTGAAGATTGTATCAAAATTCTCAGTCATCCGACATTTATATCTATGGAATTGAAACCATGGTAAATTCTTCAACTTTTCAGCGCATGCGTACAATAAAGAGGAAGAAGTGAAGCAATATTTTTGTGATGGGTTATACAAAGATTTTTTTTTACTTTTATTTTTCTCCATTAAATTAGATTTTTTAGGTTCTGAAACCTGTAATTTCTGAAACCTAATATCTTCAAGAACTGAACAAAATTTGCATGTGTCATGCAAAAATTCTTCTGTTGTCAATTTTCCCGTTTGTCCGTCACAGTATCACTTTAACATCGGGCTCGATGCTATATGATGTTCTAGAAGCTTCCGTCAATATTAAGATGGGTGAATGACAAAAATAATTTGCACGTTTCCCTATTTAATCGGTTATCACAACTTATTTCTTTTATATCATTTAAATCAAGTTTTGATTGAATAATTCAGTGATGACGTTTTATGAAATAAATAAACGATTGCTTGTTGTCAGTTTCATTGAAAATTTCCAGAAACTTAGATCCGCCAACTGGAAACGCCATCATACTCATGTTTTGCTGTTCGTAG